TTTAATAAAGTTTTTTGCCATATATTCCTAAAAAGGCATTGTAGATGCATCAAAGAGATCTTAATGCTTTTGTCAAACATAGTGGATTTGGTTTCCTTTTTTAAAAAACATAAACCAAACTCTTGGTATATGATGCTACCATCAGGAGAGAATGTTTCATGCAATGACTCTTGAGAAGTACTATTTCTTTAAGTAAGAAAAGTTGCAAGTGTTTCTCTGTTTAAAACATTTGGATCTCAGAGACCAAGTTCTGCCCTGTTAGAGATACATACATACCCACATACATAGGGGCACCTCAATTTCCCCCTGAAACCTTCTCCTCCATGAGCTGTCTGGTACGCCTTCATCTACTGACACACCAGGAGGCAAAGTAATAGCTCTGGGTTTTCCCTCTCAGCAGGCAAAGACAGTTACTGCAAGATTTAGGGGGTCAGTCACATGTAATTTGTAAAAACAACTATTTAGTACCTGAAAAAAAATCAAAATTCTTGAGCTATAAAAAAATGCAGTACTAGAGAGCTCTTAGGGTGTAAAAGGAAAAAAATGAGGGGCGGTTCCTATTTTTTTTCTTTTTTTTCCCCCCTCATTTTCTCCACCCCTGTTACAAAGTGTAACCTAGAATGCAACCCTCAGGCCCTCACCACTCTGTGCAGGTGCACAGGACAAGGAACACTTTTGTTCATAATGTATATGCTTCCAAATTAACCAAGGTATTGCTGAGGAATTCCATAGTTCCTACTTGATGAGTCATAAGATCAAGAGAAGGAAGCAACTGATTGAAACGGAAGTGAAGCTTCAAAAGTAAGTATCAACACCATAGTGTGCATTGTGATCTCTAAAGTTTTGTATTTTTAAGGTAAACTATGAAGACTATTTCTTATGGAGTTTCTGAAGAAACAAGAAGAGGAAGCAGGCTACCAATCAAGGTTAAACAAACAAACAAACATACATACATATAAACGGAACGTGGGATTCACAAGGAAGAATATACAGAGACTCTCAAAACTTACAGTGAGTTAAAATGACAAATCTGAGAATCTGACCTGAGATTATCACATAAGTGATGCAGGAATACAGGAACCAAATGCAAAGACTACTTTTTGTCTACCAAAATACTTGAGATAAGAGAATCATATAAGTTTTTATCCTACTTCTATTAACTTGTAATACGAAAGAATTTTAAGGGTCCACTTGAAGAAGTCACTCCATGGAAAAAAGAAGACGCTGTCTTATCAGCATTACACTAGTAATCAACTTCATAATAAAAACCTGTGTGCTTAGTGTTTTACTTTTACCTGCACAGAAGAACTCGATTTAGACAATTACAGGATAAAATATTAAAATCTGAGACTTAAATATGGTCTCAAACAGAAAAAACTCTAGGTGAAATTTCAAAGAGCAAGCACTGCACTAAAAAAGAGTCTCATTGTTTTAGAACATTAATTCAGTCACAGCTTTATCTTGAAATAACATTAAGCACTTAAGACTCAGAAAATACAAACAGAAGTTCCATAAATGAATAAAAGGAGGCAAAAGACAGCAACACACAAAAATATTATCAGTGTTCTGGTAACTGCTGTTCTTTTTACACAAAGCCATCAAACATCCCAAGACTCTTTAATAAGCCCTCTGTAAAATGCCTATTATCTACCCTTGGGTTCCCATTATCCCAATTTCAGGGATGCTCAGAAGCTCCTCAGTGAAACTGAAGGAAGATGCTTCTGCTGACAACAGTACCAGGAAATGTTCCTTCTAATTATAATATTTGTGCCTACAGCATAAGTCTGGCAATATTAAAGAAGCTAAATCAGACACAATGCTCACCATAGCAAGTTGGGAATGCACATTATTTCTGTTACCATGTTTGTGCAAGTAATATTCTATCACCACTGTTTTGCTCTTCTAATTTGCTCTTACCTGCCTTAACTATTTTTATCAGTAAAGAGGTTTTCTGTGATCCCCTACCCACTTAGTAAAACAAGCACTCTGCAGGGTGCCTGCAGGGCCACAACAGAGAAATCCATACATCAGGCACTCTGAACACAGGCAGGCTCTTGTCCAAAACCCAGTAGCTTAGCAGGCATAGCAATGTCTCCACAGGACTTAGTAGATGAGCTTGGCACACCTCCATGCCAGTGAGGTTACTTGGTTTTAGCATACAACTAGTTTAAGGTACAAAAGTCTGTCTGCTTATCCATTACTTCCTGAAAAACATGGATTTAATCAACACAGAACTACTCACAGCATTGAACTGAAACTCTCCTACTTTCCATAATACCCACAATGACCAAAATGGTTCCAGTGTCAAATTCAATTAAAACATAATTACCACACACACAATACAGCAGCATCGGTGGGACTAATTCAGGAAACTGCTTTCAAAAAAATATTAGTGGCTAAGAAATAACTTAATATTTAGTAGTACAGGTTTAAATTCCTTCAAGAAGAAGAGGTTCTTGAAGAGCTCTCTGACATGCTGGGAGTTTAAAGCACTGTAGCTAAACCCTTCTTTTTCACATATAATGGATTAACTGTAGTTTATCATGTGAGAGATCAAAAATAGAAGGAAAATAAGCATGTTAACACTTCAGTAATTCATTTATAATTATGGATTTACATGTTTATATTAATATAAATTTACCTTTACCCATTCCAACCTAAAAATTAAATAAATAAATAAATACAAATCTGTTCTTCACATATGCTGATGTATTTTATCAGTAAGAGCCAGGATAGCTAGCAGTATCAGTAAAAGCCTGACTGGCTGATTCAAACTGATTAGTTTAGGAATTATTATTAGAAATTACAATTATTATAGTAAGTAAATGAATGCAAGTACTCTATTGTGAAAGCATATATACCTAAACTTAAATGTGCAGTGATGTTTTATAAAGGTAGTATAACTAACCTGCAGATACTACATTGAGACACTTTGTTGATTTCAAATATGGGTAAATACTAAAAAGTGTAAACTTCTTAAAAGTAAACTTGGAGGTTATCTTTATAATATATATGTCCTTTATAATTATGTCCTTTTTAAAAGATATCATAGAATCACAGAATGATTTGGGTTGGAAAGGACCTTAAGATCATCTAGTTCCAACTCCCCTGCCATGGGCAGGGACACCTCACACTAGACCATGTTGTCCAAGGCCCTATACAAGTCCTAAAGAAACTGCAGCATACTTAAATAATCACTAGAAATAATGAATAAAGTAAGTCCTTAATATTTACT